TGAAAAAGGGTGAAAATGATTTATTATAAAACGTATCTGCAAATTCTGTTCAGTGAATTTGATGATAAACAGGCTTAGAAAACGAAGTAAAATACTTTTATTTCCAGACCAGTTAACTTTTTACTCTCGTTAGCATCTTTTTATATGTTTTGCGTGTTAGAAATTTGTTTTATGTTGCTTTTTTAAAATTTAGAATAAACGATGACCGTCACAAAATATCTCTTTTTTTTAGCGTATCAAAAATTTCAACAAAAGGAAAGCATTTTGTTACCAGATCAATAACATGATGTTGGTCTGCTATTTATAAATTTACAGCGATTCCCCAAAACATTTTGAGTTTTTGTGTAGTGGCATTTTGAAAATTTCTTGTTTTCGTCGAAAAAGACACGAATTTTGTTCAGAATTGACAAAAGCAGTTCTGCAGTATGTCAACTTTCATTACAACAATAATAAGGATGTCAAAATGCAAGTATGAGTCTCAGTTTAAAAGGAAATAATCCAAAGTGTTGTTTAGAATAGATGTGTTTAAACTTTAATTATTGAAATGACATATAAAAATTAAAGAAAAACACTTTCCTTACATATATCAAGTAATGATTATCTTTTTTGTAAGCAGTAAAGGGATATACCAAAAGGCAAAATTTACGTTAAAGTGATATCTACAAATCAGGAATAAATAAATAAATAAAATAAAATAAAATAAAATAAAATAAAATAAAATAAAATAATAAATAAATAAACAAATAAATAAATAAATAAAATTTAACAAATAAAATTCAATAAAATAATATAGGTAAAGATGATCACTTAACATCAAACAAATCAAAATAAGCCAACCAACTCCTCAAAAAAATCAAATATAATTGTAAGAGCTTAATGCAGAAACTGGCATTCTTTTACTTTTAACACCTTTAAAACTAAAGCTGTTAATTTCATTGGTATCGTTACAATTAAGTGTTTTCGTCTGATTGTATTTATGTTTATTAAAAACAGAAATCGAGAGTAACATTTTGCTCTAATCAACTTCTCATTTAACACTATCTATACATTTGGGGAAACAAAATTACAGATCTCAACCAAGTCATCTTTATAACAAAAAATATCAATAAAAAAGATGAAAAAAAAAATAAAAATCAAGAATAGAATCATTTTAACAATTTCATATACAATCATTAATTTTTATATTCATAACAAAAAAAGTAACTTAGGATTTTATTAGAAATATCAAACAAATAATGTGTCAATATTCGGAATAATATTTCTAAGCTTTTGAACGTAAAGTTTTGTCTTTGTTAATGTTAATGCACATTTCAATCATTTATTAAACATCAAACATTTGTAGCGAATTATACATGCACTGGTTACAGGATATTGTGTTCAAATTAATTAACAGGTATATAATCAGCTATTACACGGTATTTGTCTGAGTAAGGTAAAGATTCGAAGGTTTTATATCGATAGAAATGTTTATTGAGGAGATTGATATGCTATCTTTAAAAGAATAAATATCTATTGTAAACTGTCTGTAGCAATTACAAGTATTCTAAATCTTTATCTTCTGTGTGAAATTACAAGTATTCTAAATTTTTATCTTCTGTGTGAAATTACAAGTATTCTAAATCTTTATCTTCTGTATGAAATTACAAGTATTCTAAATCTTTATCTTCTGTGTGAAATTACAAGTATTCTAAATCTTTATCTTCTGTGTGAAATTACAAGTATTCTAAATCTTTATCTTCTGTGTGAAATTACAAGTATTCTAAATCTTTATCTTCTGTGTGAAATTACAAGTATTCTAAATCTTTATCTTCTGTGTGAAATGTGAAGATAATGAACAGTGATCATTCTCAAAAGTCCATTCAAACGATACAACTTATGAGCAGAGCCAACACGGACCTCTAAAAATATCAGAGGTGGGATCAGGTGCCATGGAGGAGTAAACATCCCCTGCCGACCGGTCACATCGGTCGAATTTTGTCAAAATAAGGTTTCTATTAATAGTGTTTTTAGTTAATTTAAAGAAAACTTAATCATGAAAAATATATCACTTTTCTACACTTAATATTTATCGATAGAGAAAAATTATAATGGCTCAGTGTAGATGCACAATTAAAAAAAAATGTTTTGTTTTCATCAAATAATAAAATGGGTTCAAACAGTCAATTGTCATGTAGGGGGCATCTTTCTGCCACCACTTGTCAGATATTAATGTCGACTTGTCAGATCTTTATGTCAACTTGTCAGTAATGTTTATCGGAAATAGGAACTCGGTACCTTGTAATTAAAGGGCGTTAATGCCACTCACTGACATTTATTGTCATCATAATATCTGACAAATTGACATAAGTGTCCAATAAGTAAACGTTATATACTGACAAGTCGACATAAACATCTGACAAGTGAACGTAAATATCTGACAAATCGATATAAACATCTGACAAGTAAACATAATTATCCGATAAGTCGTCATATTATCTGTCAAGTCCACGTAATTTTCTGGAGTCGACTTGTCAGAAGTTATGTCGGCTTGGCATAAAAGGATGTCGACTTGTAAGATGCTATGTCGACTTGTCAGATATTTATGTCGACTTGAAAGATAAATATGACGACTTGCTAGAAAGTTATATTGACTTGTCAGATCCTATTGTCGACTTGTCAGAAAAATGTTGTCATCTGGTTCACACAAACTGGGCATGGACGCATTTTCATGTTGAATTTCTAACAGTCAACGAAAAATCTGACAAGTCGACATAATTATCTGATAAGTCGACATAACATTTGACAAGTCGACATAAACATTTGACAAGTGGAAGTGATGACAAAAATATGCCACTATAATCTTGTTATTAAATCGTTTTAATATGGTGGCAGAGTATAGCTCTGCCACCACTTAACAGATGTTTTTGTTGACTTGCCATTTATTTTTGTGCTTAAAAGTTCAACATGAAAACGTGCCCGTTCCCTCTTTGTGTCATTCAGTTGACAACAAATTTTCTGACAATTTGACATCAGGATCTGACAAGTCGACATAAATATCTGACAAGTCGAAATAATTATATGACAAGTCAAAATTTAAATAACATCTAACAAGTAACACACTTTTCTGACAAGTCTACATAACATCTGACAAGTCTACATCTGCAATTATATCGACTTGCCAAGTAATTAAGTAAAATTGTCAGAAAATTATTTTGACTAATCAGAAAATTATGCCTACTCGTCAGAATATTCTGTCGATTTCTCAGATATTAAGACGACAAGTGTAGATGTTAATTAGTCGCATTAACACACTTTAAAAACAAGATTCTGAGTTCCTAGTCATGAAGATTATTATCTGACGTCAACAGAAAGATCTGACAAGTTGAGTTAAATATCTGACAAGTCGATGAATCTGACAAGTGGTTGTAGAAATATGACACCATATGTTAATGCAACTAACTGAAATCTACTTTTCATACTATCTGACAATTCGAAATCCGTGTCAACCAAGTAAACATGATAACTTGACAAATCGGCATAATTTTCTGACAAGTACATATAATTTTCTGACAAATCGACATAATTTCTGATAAGTCAACATAATTATCTGACAAGTCAACAAATACCTGACAAGTCGTTATATTCATCTGAAAACTCTATATAATTTCTGACAAGTCGTCATATATATATGAATAAGTCGACATAATCATATGATTTTGACTTGTCAGATGTTATACTGACTTGTCAGATAATGATGTCGACTTGCCAGAAAATTATTTGACTTATTAGACGTTATATATCGACTTGTCACTTTATAAGTTCGACATGTCTAATATTTATGACGACTTCAACAAATTTTATAATGACGACTTGGTAGAAAGTGATGTCAACTTTTCAGATGATTTTGTTGACTTGTCAGATCTTTATGTCGACTTGTCAGATAAATATGTTGTCAACTGGATGATGACACAAGTAGGGCATGTGTACGATTTCATGTTTAAATTTTACAAATATAAGTAGGCGATAAGTCAACATAAATATCTGTCAATTCGGCATAAACTTTTAACAAGGTGACAAAGACGTCTGACAAGTAGTGCAGAACTAAACCGCCAGTCATGTTCCAAAATTACTTCTTATGTGAAACACAGAGAGGCGGTTGTTATATAGGAGATAGGTGAGCAGAAATATGATCAGTGTGAAATATCATCCGATATTCAATTTTGGTATAAAATTGATATCACCTAAACTGGATTTTCCACGACCATAATAAATACCTTTCATATTACTTATATTTGTTATATTGATTAGAAGATTGGTTTCTATCGGTTTTAGATTCCAGTCAATATTCAAGTTAGCACTCAGTGTGTGATTCTAAATGATGCTTGACGTACAGAGCAAAAATTTTCAAAAGGTGAGCCTCTCAGCAAATTCACCGTTATACATGTATCATCATATTATATAATATTTTCGGATAAGTTTACAGCTCAATACATTTTTCATTGTATAAACTGATACATGTTTACTGTTCAGCCCGAGTTTTAATTTTATTTCAGAGGTGAAAATCGATTCAATAGTACACAGTATTACACTTTTCCAAATATACACGTACATGTATGTTCTGTGATGTACATGCATAGTTAATGTTTCGCATTTTTGTACGACTTGTTCATGGTTTTAAATTTCATCAATATAAACTTCAGAGATATGTTAAATATTTTGAATGAAAATGTCATTCTTTTTTTTTTTTTTTTAGATCAGAAGCAGAGGTTTTAACAGGTAATTTTTTCAAAAGATCTAACAGGTACATACATGTATTTCAGAAACAATTATTGCAATTTATTTATAGATTAAAAAAACCCCGACTGAATCTATCTTGAGAAAACAAAATAAATTTCGAATGAGAAAAAATATGTTTAAAACAAGGCTATATATCAGCTATATTTCGCCATTCCTATTCCTGGTGCTACGAAATAAATCACAGTTGAAAATATGTTGTGTCTCAATTCTTTATTAATAGTAAGTAAAACGCAATAGTCAATCACAAATATTATATTGTAGGATAAATCATATCACAACTTCTAAAGCACATAGAATTAGCACTAATCAACAAAAAATCAACTATTTCACACGAGTAAACAAAAGTCTCGTAGATTCTCTGTATCACTGGCCTGAGAAATCAATATATCAATGGCAACTTTAAAGATAGTACAGAACATAAAAAAAAGACATATGACCGTTACGTTATGGTTGCTTTAGCTTTTCAATTAAGATGCACATGTACATAATCCAAACTAGTATGACTTCTGTTACATGATACTGCGACAGAATACAATCTACTTCTGTTTCCATTGGATTTTAGTACAGTTTGTTCTATGGAAGGAAATTTTTGTTAATAATTTATAAAAGATTTTCTTCAAATGACAATAATCAAACTAGAGCTTGAATGATGGTTCATAGTGCATCTAGAAAAAAATCATTAACTGCAACATACGTGTTACTCCTATGATCGTTATGACACAATCAGCTTAAACAATGTTATTATCTGGTTTTGCAACTAAAGAAGACTAGTTCCATGTAGCTGAGTTGAAATGAAAGACAACGGTATTTCAGTCAGTGAATTCGACAAAACCATTTCTATCTAACGTTTGGCTTCAGTGTCGACAGCTCTCGGCAACAGATGATTCGGCTGCCTTTTGAGCCGCTGCAATTTTGTCGGGTGTGAGGTACGGGTGATACCGATAGGAGGAAGTAGATGGGTAAACAGTGTCTGAAAAGGAAGCGGAAGTAGTCGGGATGTTGTCTCTGATCCTTAGGTTGTTAGCATTTACAAGTGAGTGAAAGGCCATTGGCGGAATCATAAAGTTTGTGTTCAAACCAAAGAGTCCACCATACAATGTATACAGCGACCGATCGTTTGGCATATATGAGGGCGAAAAGGTAGATGGGATCGGGCGCCAAACCGGCCATGGAGGTACCATACCAGACTTCTCGAGGTTTCCGCTCTCTTCTGCAATAAAAACGGAAAACACGTCATTAACCCGGTAAACAGACAAGATAAATAACAGAAAATGAACACAGATTATTACTCTCGATGAAACATTATCAAGATTGGTGCTTATATGTGCCTAGACCACACAGCTTTAATGCATGGCGGAGGAGAACGGGTGTTGTTAGACGCATCCGTTACGGGATGTGGTATTTATGTACAACAGACACGCACGTTGCCTTACGTGAAACGAGTCAGTGATTTCTAAAACCATTTATATCTAACTATTCAGGCAATTAATCGGTGCGTTTGACACCTCTCCGTGTTGCTCTCATGGTAATTCGAGTTTGCTGGGATATTGCAGACCACCGACAGCAAAAACGCTTCTTTGCAGACTACTTTGCGTTTCTTCTGCTTATTATGAATCATGGCATATCAGATGCCGATATAGAAACTCTGGAGCGAGTTTAGCAGTGACATGTGTGCTATAGTGCACCTTTGATATTGTAGTACATTGGACCCTTTTCCCAGGAGTTGAATATCACTGAAACATTGGCGCTTGTTGATTTTATTATTTATCAATTACAGTTCCAGTTTCTCTTGTATATCCGGTAAAGCAAAACAGAATATCGTAAATTAATTACATCACGCAATCGAGAAGTATGAATTCATAAAGAAGAAAGTTTTGTGAATTCGGAGTGTGAAAGAAGGTCCCATTCAGCTGTCAACCTCGGCTTCGTTCGCGGTTAACGAGTATCAGTTGAGACAACTGATACTCAGCGAACGTGTACACTATGATTACACCCCATACGTCTTGGAAAATTTGGCAGTAGTTTAGTAGATTTTAATTTTAGACAGGAAAATGAAAGTTTACCTTTTGACATAAATTCTCTGTGTTGCTTCAGAGTTTCCTCGAGGTCAGTTTCTGTGTAAGACCGTAAGGGAGAACGCGTGTAGGCGTGGTGTTGCATGAGAGATTCCATACCCTCTCTATACATCAACGGATAGGAATATTCCGCCCCCATCGCAGTACTGAAACGATGCATAACTATATATTAGAAAATTACTCTTCATCAAAAACAAGATTTCTTAAAAATGCATACGTATATGTAAATGTAATATATATTTAGTTCAGGGTAGAGGTATAGAAAGAAGTACTCTTTTTTGCTCACTGATGGGCCGTAAAAATATTGTTGTATTGAAACCTACCTTTCAAACTCTGTCAGTCTTGTAGAATCCCTGAAACCTTTGGCGAACGGGTTACTGTCTATTTTGAGTTTTGTAATCTAAAAGGTGGAAAAGCCTACGTTAGTTATGGACTTATCTTTATGGATATTCCTTCCAAAGAAGGAGAGAGAGAGAAAAAAGATAATTAATTTTGACGAAGTTTAACTCACCAGTTGGTTTTGGTAAGCTGTTACTGCAATAAAAACTGACTCTGGAAATATAAATGTTTTAAATTCCTCGGCATCTAAACTCGAAATAGGTTGATTTCCAGACGATTCCTTCTTCTTTACAATATGAATCCGTGGTTG